TTCATTGGTGGCTTGGGATGAGGAAGCAAGGGAAAGGAATGAGAAAAAAATGGAGTGAAAAGGGGAAAAAAGGAGGATATCAGAAACAGAGAGAATAAGTGGTCTTGTCCGTCACTTGATGTTTTTCACTATTCATTGGTAACTGATGAGGCCTGTCAGAGATAATATTTGCAAAAGGATGAACATCAACAGAGGGAAAAAATATAGTTCCCTTTTGCATAGCATTAAAACCTGGCATCCACCAAAATAATATTGATCAGTCCAGCCTGACATTCACACATGAGTTTTGGAAATTACTGTATTTTTCAGAGCATAAGATGCACCAGAGTATAAGACGCACCAAGATTTTGAAGAGGTAAATTTTTAAAAAAAGATTTTGCACTCTGCAGACCTCCCAAACCCTCTGCATACCTCGTTTTTCGTAAAAGGGGGGCATGCAGAGAATTTGAGAGGCCTGCAAAGTGCTCCTGGGGGCTGGGGGGGGGGCAAATGCAAGCAAAAACACCAAGCCAATCTTTCACTTGTTTTTGCCCTCCCCAGCCCGCAGAGCACTTTGCACGCATCCTAGAGGCTATGCACATCCATTTTTGTAAAGGGGGCAGGGTTTCAGGAGGCCAAAAATTCTGTATTCAGTGTATAAGATGCACTCAGATTTTCACCCTCTTTTTGGGGGGGGGCAAGGTGGATCTTGTACTCTGAAAAATACGGTATTTTGAATGCGATTCTCAACCAGAACATTAGCCAACAGCAGCTTTTCTCAAACTGAAGTTTCCCTTAGTATGCCAGTCACCCATGGCTGGGGAAAAGGAATCTGAGGAGCAATGCATCTATGTGGCACCAGACTGAAACAAGTCAAGAGATGTTTTATTATGAACAGCAAGTGAGGAAAACTGTGCAATAGCAAATGCCAGCCATTATTATAATGAATGGTATAATGCACGGTAATAAAAGGCTAGTTTTTTCTTACCTGGCCAGGAAAAGTGCCCACTCTGGATGGAATAGCCACTTCCTGGATGAGTCCAGCAAGTAGATTTTGTTTCATCACTATAAGCAAGTCCAAACAAAGTATTTGAAATGTATGGAATATCATCATTTTCAATTTCAAAGATCAAGAACAATTGTCCTCCATCTTAGCACAGAATGCTTATCGCTAAGAACAAAGGTTATACCAACTATTCATCATAATCCCTTTTTAAATTTTGTTACTTTTTCCAAAAATGTACATCACACACATGTACTTATATCAACAAGGCAAGAGACATACACACAGAAAGAGATTCTCCAAATTGCATCTCTATGTAGCAAAAACAGTATCATCTATAAACAAGGTTGCTCAAAGTTTGAAGAACTGCCAACGGTATATTTAAGGGGGAGAAAAACACCCAACCAATGATAGTTGAGCAATCTCTTAGGGAACAGAATATTGGAAGAGAGAATCAAATAGGGGGAAGGAAAACATAACTGCCAAAATTAGAAACTGGAAGACTTTATCCTACTACCCTCTATTGTAAAAATTTGTAATTTTGTCATTGTACAATGCTTTAAAATGCTCATGATATTTTGCATATTCTTAGTGATGTAAGGAAGTTAACATGGTTATTTATCTGACCTGTACATCTCTCCTATCACTAAAGACTCTGGATGGTATATATACCTGTGTATGTATGAACAGACTATGGTATATACAATATATAACCCATTACAAGAGGGAACAGTATTGAAATGCAAAGTTTAATAGCCCTTGAAAATTCAGCAGGGTTGGAGCAGTGGTGGGTTCCGGATCCTGTCGCAAATGGTACGCTGAGATGAAGCCAGGCATCCACCTCGGGCACGCACACGGCGCACAAATGCACACCCACTGCCCTCCGATGCTCCAGCTGCTTGGCAGAGGTCACACAGGCACATATGCCATGTGTGCATGCGCAAATGGCCCAGTTGGCTTAAATACAGGTAAGGAACGCGGGCAGGCAGGTGGCCCCTCCAAAATGCTGTTCCAGTATGGTGGCCACTGCTCCCAGCTGCCATCGGTACACCTGTACCAGGGCATACTGCCCGGAACCCACCACTGGGTTGGAGCCCTCTAAGTCTGATGTGGGGAATAGAAGCTGAAGGGGGGGAAATGATAAAGCCATTTCATGAGTCAGGAGCAAGATTTGAAATGGCAATTTCCTGATTCACAACTGAGCTTCTTAGGTTACATTCCTATAGCCAATCAGGAACAAAGCCCCATGGAAATCAGTGGAATTTANCTGCGCTGTACAGTAGAAGCCATTTTACGGCAATACAGTAGAAGTCATTTGAAGGCACAGCAGGCTGTATCTTAACAGAAAATACACCTCGTGGTGTTTTAGGGGTATCTTACCCCCACAATACTTTTTCTCCAGAGAGTTAAGTCATCTGTGTACCAGTTTTGGTTGAAATTGCTCGAGACATTCCAGAGTTATGCTGGAACACACGCACCCACCCACTACCACCACCACCATTTTTATGTACATAGATAAGTAAAACATAAATAATGTCAGTTTATTCAGTCATGTGATTGCACGGCTTATTTTAGTTGGGTTTAATGGATGACTCCTTCAGAAATTCGGTGAAATTAAAGTGTTAACAACCAACTAATGTATGTATATATATATATATATTTTTAATAAAAAAAACCAAAACTCTCGAGTTATTTAAGGTTCTTCACGTTTTTTGCTCAGGTGCTGAGACAAATGCGCAAACTGCCTTGGCATGACCACGAAGTGAAAGATTACGTGATATGCTGCATGATCAACATTTGGAATGTGAAATATAACAGCATTCACTGTGTAGCCAATCTCCTGGCAGGACTGGTCCTTTACCAAGAGGATGTTGGCATTCACGTGGTGGACGGAGTTCTAGAGGATATTCGATTAGGGATGGAGGTAAAGCACTTTAAAAAGTTGCTCCGGCTCTAAAAAAAATAAAGCCGAAGTATATTTAAATTACTTTTTCCTTGTGGTTTTACGTCCCCATCGTTAATGATGATGTATCAATGCTTTACAGAAGGAGAAAATTAAACTTGGATCTAAATAGTTGCATTCTTGGTATTGTAGCATCCTAGCCAAGTTCTTTGTCTCTAGTGCTGAAACATAGTTTTCTGCAATGTGAATAAACAGGAAATCAGAAAAAGCTTTGATCTTGCATTCTCTCTGATGGCTCCCATATGTTAAGGAAGAAAAAAAGAACATGTTTTATGTCACCTATTGTGATTTTATTTAATGGAGGTCCTCGTTTGGAAGTTTGCAGTGGGAGCCATTGCTTATAAACATATTCCAAACAGTCTAGTTACATATAAACATGGAGGTATTTAAACAGACAGCAAACCCCACTTCCTTCTACCACTGATGATGTTCCCTAGTTGAGCTATGAAATGTCTGCAAGAAAATATCCAAGCTCAGAGAGCCTCAAGGACCCCCACAGTCCTCCCTTCTACCTCCCTCCCTCCTCCTCCTCCTCCTCCCCTCCCTTCCTCTTCTTCCTCCTCCCCACAAACCTTACTACCTTCAAGTACTGATGATATTAACCTACTTGTGGAATGTCACATCTCCAAGAAAAAAACCCCTAAGCTCGGAGAACACCTAGGACCCCCCCCCCTCTCATTTCCACCCTGAGCTACAAATAACTCTCTTCTCTCGGAAGGGGAGAACGCTAACTTTGCAGCTTCTTTCTTTTTCTTCCTTTGAAGGTTAATCAGCCCAAATTTAACCAGAGGAGGATCAGCAGTGCTAAGTTCCTCGGCGAGCTGTACAACTACAGAATGGTCGAATCGGCGGTAATCTTTCGGACTCTGTACTCATTCACGTTGTTTGGGGTGAACTCCGATGGCACGCCGAGTCTCCTGGACCCTCCTGAACATCTTTTTCGAATTAGACTGGTCTGCACCATCCTGGACACCTGCGGGCAGTACTTCGATAGGGGATCCAGCAAGAGAAAGCTGGACTGCTTCTTGGTCTACTTTCAGGTAGGGTAACCCTCCGACCACGCGATTTGCTTTACACTCTCCCACACTAAATAAAACCGACAAAAATGACCCAGATAAGAATTGCATCATTAAGGGGTGTCAAACTCGATTTCCTTGAGGGCCGCATCACGGTTGTGTTTGACCTCGGGGGGGACAGGGAGGGCGTGTCCAGCTCGATGTCACTCATGTCAGGGGTGCCAGTGGTGGCCCGAGCACTCTGCCAGAGAAAACCGGCTCCCGAGCTCCGTTTTCGGCTGCAACGGCCTCCTGAAACCCTCTGCCAGTGAAGACGGAGCTATTGAGTGATGGATTCTCCAGTGATGGAGCACCCACATCTTCTGGACAAGCTGTTCCACTGATTAATTATATTAAACAATCTAAATACTTACATTGTTTGCTTACTTTAAAAAAATGTAAGTTTAGAATATGGGGAAGAAAGGTCTTCAGAGTTTAGGGTTGTCCATCTATTTCTGAAGAGTAGAACTGTTGCTTTAAAAGAAAAACAGAGTTGGAAGGGACCTTGGAGGTCTTCTAGTCCTGCCCCATGTTCAAGCAGGAGACTCTCTACCATTCCAGATAAATGACTGTCCAATCTTTTCTTGAAAACCTCCATTGATGGGGCACCCACAACTTCTGGAGGCGATCGGTTCCATTGGTTCATTGTTCTCACCGTCAGAATCGGAAAGGGGAGTAAAAATATTTTGCACAATTATTGCTCTTAAACAACCACTGATGAGTTTTAGGCGACCCGTTGTTCTATACAAGACTTTTCAAACATTAACTTGCTCGCTGGAACAAATTCCCAACTGATTCGACGAACTGGAGAAGCTGGGTGTTTACCGCGTGGTGATATTTTTTGTTCTTGTGCGTGTTGTGTGTTTTTCTTCCCCCCGCAGAGGTATGTTTGGTGGAAGAAAAGCCTGGATGTATGGACAAAAGATCACCCCTTCCCTATAGACATTGACTATATGATCAGCGATACGTTAGAACTCCTGAGACCGAAAATAAAACTTTGCAATTCTCTGGAAGAATCCATGAGGCAGGTACAAGAACTGGAACGGGAATTCTTAATCAAACTAGGTAAGACTGCCACGTCGAGGCCAGAGGGAGCTGAAATTCCCACTTCGATAATATAGTTGGTATCTTGATAGTACTGTTTATAATTTTGAGATGTCTTTGGGTAAGTGGATATGAATTTTCCTCTGCGTCCATAAGGGGGGACGAGAGGAAGTGCTTAATTGAATCTAAAATAAGCTGCTGCGAAACTACCTCGGATCTGGCAATGTACCAATTTAATAGCCCTTCATGGTATTGGACCTGGGTACTTGAGAGACCGCCTGCTGCCAATTACCTCCAATAGACATCTCA